AGGAGCTGAATTTGAATTCTTTCTGCATCATATGGGTAGGGAACGTTGCTCTAAAGTCTCAGCTTTCTAGCTTCTTTTGTGCAGAGTTAACGTTCTCCAGCTAAAATTTCCCATATCCGTATGTAGGTCCCGAACAGTTCTAAACAGCTGAGTTTGAAATCTTTTCGTCATGAGTGGGTAGGGATCATTGTCCTAAAGTTTCAATTTTATAGCCTTTCTCGCTCCCTGGTTAGCAACTTTTCCCTTCAAGACTTCCACGCATCCGTACGTGAGAAACTGATGCGCGGGACAGTTGACATCACGTCCCTGAGAACGCACTTGGTCAGGGAACACAATGGCAAAAATTCAGCATCAAAGCTTGCGTGGTTGGCGAGCAGAGACATCCAGACAGACGAAGACAAACACACACTCCCACAAACACAGTACGCATTTTTGCTGGCTGATGCAACTAGTACTGCACAGCACAAAAAAGGAGGGATAAAAATGGATAAAATTGTAAAAATGCAGAAATGCAATCACATTCCTGATTCATGACCTAAAAAAAGTGAAAAAAGATATTACATAATTTTATAATTAAAATTACATATTTTGCACTAGCTACTGAGTTTCCGAGCTATCTCACTGCTGCACGAAACACTGCAAAAACGCATAATCGCACGGGCTTGCCTGGTGTTGTAAATTCATATTTTCGAAAAGAGGAAAAGATAATTAGAATAAAAAAATTTGAGAAAATGACGGCATTTTACTTGTTACATTGTGTTGAATGTTGCCTTTTTGTTTTTAAATGTGCCACGCTTGGACCCCCCATACAGGTATCAGGAAGGACAGCTTGGCAGCTAACAAAGCTGACGGCTCGGCTTTTTGCTTTCCCTATCCTTCCAGCTCTCTTTTACAAAGCCTTCTAGCAGTCTGGTAGAACAAAAGCTTACAGTTGGACCGGCGGGAAGCAGACAGTGTTGTTGCTACTAGCGCGGATGCGAGGCGGTTATCGTCCACCAGAGCTAAGACTCCAGTCCTTTTCCAGCGCTACTCCTGTTTTTTCGACTGACGCTAAGGCTTTAGCTGGCTACGAAGACGTTGGGCGGTTGATGTCTACCAACGAATGCTCGCAGTTCTCCGGGAAAAAAACTAGCAGCTCTCTGTTCGTGTAAAACTACTTGTTTATTTACCTAGGTGGGATTTTAGTTGTGCCGCGCAAGTTTGCCAGCTTCAGTTTAGCATTTCTTTTTTTTCTTGTTTAGCAGCTTTTGTGTCTTTTGTGTTTCGCTTCATACATATCAAGCACATGACACGTATATGCATGTTAGTATACATGTGTCCTGCTTCGCGATTGAATAAAATTTTAAAATGAAAATCTGAAATGTCTGGAGGAGTTTTGGAATCATTTTATTTTTTCCGATTAAGTAGGGCTGAGAGTAGCCTCAGACCAAAAATTATGGCAAGAGATCGAGCAGACGCCAAAAAAATTTGACTCGATCCAGTTTGAACTGAAACTAAGATCTGCGTTTGCATAAATGCGCAGAGCCGCATAAAAATCGATAGCTCTTATTAGACTTGTTTTAATATGGTTTGATCTGTAACAGCGTTTACATTAGATAAACATTCAAAAGTAAATTTTATTGGAGGGGTTTTTTTTCCAGGATTCAGTCAAACATTTCCACAATCTTTGTTTTGAACTGTAATTCTGTGC